GGTTGTTTATAAGCACCTAGGTAGCCATTAGGGTTCTCTATGCACTACTTTGAGCATTCGGCTTAAAGAACTTTGGACGATTCAAGTTTATTTACAAGGTGTTTTTAAACCTTTTCTTCTTAATAATATTTTCTTTGGTTTATAATCATGATTATGTGCAACTAGTCCCTTTTTGGCAGGGTGAGGCCACGAGCCTTAGCCATGATTATGTGAAAAGAAACTACATATGGTGGTGACGTCGCAGGTGATAACGTCATTTTTCTGATTTCGAAAAGAGAGTTGTGAGCTCTGGGTTTTTGGAGTTTGGAATATTATTATGAAGTTAGACATGCACACCGTATGCACACCACATGCATATTATGAAATAAATTTCACAAATTTATGCAATTGGACACTTGAACCAGAAATTGTTCCATCCTTGTTTTGTAGCACATCGAAACTTGAAATTTATTCCACAACCCATAGGCCCCAACATGAAACACAATCCCTAATTTAACTTCCAAGTATTAATTCATCTGGATTTTTGGGTTGGCTCAGATCTATGAGTACATCATATGTATGTCGTGTACATACAGTGGGCAAATCCTGAAAAATTTATCAACCAAAACACCAACATTTAATGACTGGGCTTTGTTCCCACCCTTGATGCGAGTCCAGTAGTGGTGGTCTCGAACCTCGGTTGTTTGTCGTGTTACCAGAAAATGGCCGGAAAACTCGCGGTTAGCTTAAGTTTCGATCCCAATGATAGAGAGATAGAGAGATAGAGAAATCAGAAAATGGGAGCAAATAACCCATTTATATACAAGGGCAATTAAGTCATTTCAAGGTGTAGGAAAATCCTATCTCTGTCCGATTTTTGTGCATGTCGTGTGCATATTTGAAATGTCCTATTTATATCCCAAGATTAGGAAACTGTCCTATTTCTGGGTATTTCCCATGATATTATCATGCATGTTTTAAATTATTAATCACCATGTTTGAAACTATCTAATTGTCTTAATGATTCACGACCATTAGGATGTTTAGACAATTAATTTGATGCAATTTCTGGTGAAACATCACCCTGAAATTAAGAAGGGATTCTTGTGATTGTGTAAGACCCCATATTTTAAAAATAAATATTTGTTATTATTATTATATACCACGTGCCTAGCTCCTATCAGTACTAGTCTTAATTATCTTGGGAGAGAGAAATGGGTGATTAGTAAGCACTCTAGTGTGCTGATTTTGCAACAAGGCTATTTACTTGGACGTGTTATCTTTTGCACACATTCAATTGACACCTTGCATAACTAGTGACTAAGATCTTGATACTACAATAGGTGTCACAAGGAAAGTATCACCTTCATACACACGTAGGAGTTTAAGGATAGGACTTCATATATTTTATTGTATATTTTCCTTGGACCTCAAGTCTTGGAGCCGTTCTATTTCACTATAAATATGAGCAAAGGCTCCATTCTTTTAAAACCACAGAAGCATGCAATGCATGCATTACGTAGAGATGATGTATATATAGTATATATCTATGTATATATATGTATGTACGTGTGTGTGTGTATATTATATATGTATAGAGAGAGATAGCGAGTAAGGGTTTGAGGTTTGTGGAGATGTTAGTTGTGTTGTCTTGCCAAAGCTTCAAGTCAAGCATGTTGAATTTGTGGAAATGCTTTCAGAATTATTAATATAGTGATATGTGGGTATTTGGAATTGTTCATGGAGCATGAGAACCTTAGTGTTGCATTAATCCGAGGGATAAATGTAAACTGCGCACGGGGACATTTAGGCAGATGACCATTAGGGGTCACGTCGTGAGTTACAATTTATGAAGGATATAATGAACACGTGAAGGGATGATGTGATATGGCATTATGTGTATAATGATTTGATATTATTATCCTATTTTATAGTGTGATTAAAATGGCAAGCTTGACTGGCATATTATATATTCTACTCACTGAGCGATGACGGTTGTTGCTCACCCCTCACCTATTATTTTACAGATGAGTTATTTGGCAAAACATGTGTTATTTGGCAAGACAAGTGTTGGAAGAGCTGAGGTTGTGATTGAGGAGAAGTTTAACAATTTTTAATTTATTACTTTTGTACACCCTGTAAGGTTTTGGAGTTATAAGAGGAGTTCATTTTCCAACCCATGTCAATTTCCTTTTATTTATTTTTACTTTTATTCGCGTTCCGGGCGCGGGGTCTTATTTTTCCATCGACCCCGAGTTTGGGGTGTGACAGATTGGTAATTGTAATTTCACTTAAGGCAAACATCATGCTTTTAAAGGTTGCATGGTTTTTCAAAAAAAAAAAAAAAAAAAAAAATCATAAAGTTTAATGAGTCTTGCATGTTTATACTTGATTTAAACATCATAGATGGATTGTATGTTAGGTATACGTTCCCGCTTGAAAATCACGAGGACAATATGTATAAGGAAAACTTAACCTTCAAAAAATATGCATGTATAAGTCATAATTAATTTAGAGAACTACATATGATTGTTAAAGTGATAGCAGAATCTATTGCCTTTCACATTTTGACTTTTTCTCCAAAAATTATTTCTTTTGAGAAGTATTATTGGCACTCCAAAAATCTCATTCTACACTCCTCACAAGTGTATTTTTCTTTCCTAATATATAAAATTTGGAGTTTAGAATGAGATTTTTGAAGTGCTAATAACAATTCTCTTTCTTTTTCTACTTTGCTGCTTAGTTTTAGAAAAACCCAACTTCATTTATTTTAGTTTTCTTGCTTTATCTTTTAAATTTCAGAATTTCAAATACCTTTTTTAACTTTTTGTTCAATAATTATTAAGAAATTGTTTAAATATAAATTGTTTTTAATATTCATTTAGTGAACGATTGGCAAATTAAAACCCACATGACACCACCAGAATATGTGCATTATTGTCATTTTCAACTATTTGGCCGATCAAACGCCCTCACGCAATAAGCAAGAACATTGTTTTTTTTTTTTTTTTTTTTTCTTCTTAAGGGAAAAAATCCACAATTAGATTATAATTACATCAACTCCTTAAATAAAAATTCACATTAAGATTAATTTTGTTCTTTGGTACATCAAAACTATGGAATAGCTGTTGGACTTTGTAATTAAGCCACCCTCAAATTCTTTGTGTTGAACAGTGCAAAGAAAATTCATTTCAATATATACTTTCAAATTTTGTTCCATAACGGCTAATTAATTTTTGTTACAATAACAACAAAACTTTATCCTGATTCTATCCTACTTTGTTTCATTTCTCACCAGTTTTCTTAGTCCCCAAAAACCTCATTGTAAGCTAATTTTTTGCAAACCACCAGCAAGTTACAAAAGTGAAAGCAGAGGCCAAAATGATAGTTATTGTGTCGGCCCCGGAAAAGAAAAAACGAGAGTTATTCTGTTGGCCCCAGAAAAGAAAAATGAGATGGCGCAGGCCTACGGTGCAAGGACATGCATAAAAACGTGTCATTTTCGTTCAATGTAATTATGTGACATTCGTTTCCACACGTGTCAACTGGAAACTTGAAAACTCCCAAAGCTTCATTTGGCCCCCCACATCTTCTGGAACTTGAACCACATCCTCAGCGTTTGTGTCGCTGATGCAGGAAGACAAGCACAGCCGTATGAGATCCATCTCTAATCTTAATTAGTATCTCTACTGTATCAGTTTGTTGGGTTACTTTGGTTAACTAATCACAAAAACAAACTTTAATATTTTTCACCGATCAATCCGAAGTTTTCCGTAATTTTCACTCAACTATAAGTTCTTAAAGTCACTGGGACTCGTCTAATTTTATTATGCTTTTAGTGTTTATTGTTCAGTTATTAACTCGTTGAACTGGGTACTTACTATCAAGGTTCACTTTCTTTTAGTTACGCTTTGCTGTCAAAATATTAGGCCAAAAAAAAAAAAAAAAAAATTTGCAGTAAAACTGAACTAGGGGCTGTCAGAATATTTGGCCTATTCCTTTGTTGCAATTGAAGCTTGAATATATATATATATATATATATATATATATATCCTTTTATTTTGTGTTTACATGTTGTGTTAATGCAATCAAGTAGCGATTTTCACTCTCATTTTATCGGTTTGCACTCCCTCCCTTTCGTTATTACGCTTTGATAATTGAATGCATAAAAGGAGAATGGAAGCGTAAAAACGAGGGGAGGAGTGTGAATGAACAAAGGAGTGCGAAAATTGCTAGCCATCTGATTAATTACCAATGAATTTCATGGAAGCATTGTTCTTGTTTCGGTTTATTGAACAAGGGATTGCTATGCATTGTCCTGTGGCGTGCTTTTAAATATGCTTCCAATATGAAGTATTAATTTCAGGGAATCTGAGAACCGTTTCCAACATTTTATTCATATGCTTCCCTGCATTGCGAATGATGATTGTTGATATGATGATGTTATCTACAATCCATTTCTTTTCCAACCCCCTCACATTGAGTGATCATGGAGTGCGTCGCTCCTTGTAGGAGAATTGGGAAGAAAATCGAGAAAGAAAACAGGCTTTTCTAACACATTTTCCATGTTATCACTTTGCTCCAGGATTGTCAGTTTCTAGTGTTAACTACTTCATTGTGAAACGATCAGCAAAAAGAGATCTTACATGTGTAGAATAGCTGCGTTATCACCCGCAAAGATCAAATTCAAACAACTCTACCCTATGAAAGGGTCATGGGGTAATATATGTTCTCTCATTTGAGGCTTTTCTAGTTAGAATTGTATGGTATAACAACTTCTCTGTCTGACTAATGTAGTGGATTATAATTAGGTACTTTGGCCGGTTCAACACCTAAGAAACTAGGGAACAACGATAATGGGGAAGGAGGAATTGTTACGAAAGAGAAAACCCAACCAATGGTCGCCTTCAGCAGGCCGCCGCCACTTCCACCAGTTTTCGGCCCATTGCTTCTTCTCTCGCTGCTAGAAACGTGGTCAAGTCGTGACAGCAATGATGACTGAGAGGTGATTTAGTTGTCCTTCTAATGTTATTCCTCGTTGAAGAAAAACTTTGCAATGTAAAGCAAAATGTAGTATGCATGGCCAAGTATACGAGCTGCGAGGTTCCAAAGCCTTAAGTAGCTTTCTAGAAGTGGTGCGATAAGTAATGCGTATATCTTCCATAACCATCGCAAAACAATACGAGGACTTTTTAGGAACCCTGCATCAGAGATATCTTATGTTAAGTAATATCTGTGACATGTACGATATGCTGAGGTTTTGAAATATATGGTGAAAGCTAACGTACATTCAGCAATTTTTGGGAAACCATCAAATAGTGAAGTCACCGTCCTTAACATACTCTGAATTGTGCCAAAGGAACAAACACATAATGAACAAAATCAAGGGGTCAATAATACGCAATTTACCGTTCTTGTTTTCTTATCATGATGATAGAGGCTAAGGCACTATATATCATGATAATAGTACGCAAAAGGGGAGTGATTTCTGCACACCGTTTTTCACCTTCTGCACGCCCTTTTTAATTATGGCCTTTGATTTGTTCATTCCAATGGCTAAAAAACAAAGGGGTGTGCAAGAGGTGAGAAAGGATGTGAAGAAATAATTTCCGAAGCGAAATTACCAGCACTAGTGTTCCTGGTTTGATTGGTGATTCAATAACTATCTGTGCTTTCCTGCAGACAATTAAAATCAGTAAGGTTTTCTTCATCTTCAATCTCAATTGAATCAGAGGCTAAAGTAGTAAATCTAAAATTCTGTACTTGATTATTATTTTTTCTCCTTCTTTGGAGCATTCGAAGAAGCTACAGCCTCTGGTGAAGGGGATCTGTTTGTTTTTCCATTCTGCAAAGCCAAACATAAGTTATTTCATAGAACTAGATTTATATTTAGGTATTTATGCGGAAGCGATAATCGTTTATAGATATACCCATATGCCAGTTTGCTGCTGCTGTTAGTTCATCTCCTTCGCATACGTGTCGTAAAATGAACTTAACATTTTGGCCCATGCCTGCAGTTAGCTGCTCAAAAAAACTCATAACCTCCTGCATAAATGAAGTTTAGGTTTTGTCAGTAGAAAGGGAAAACTATTGCTTTATTGTCATGAGGAAGAACAAAGAGTATTGACCTTTTTGCCTTGTAATGGTGTGTGGAAAGAGCACTCTTCAATGTAGCAGTCTTCTGAGATGTGATCACGTAGTTGCTTTAAGTTTTTCTGATTGATGCATCTGTAAAATTGCTTGATTGTGTCCGATGGAGAAGGAGATCCCGGAAAAATGTCTGAGTTTCTCGTTGCTGCTAATGCAGGAAACACCCTGTGCTCATTCAATAGTCTATCTTGTGCCTTCCTTGTCATATAGATGCAATGTTGGACGGTATTTGTTCTGCTGAGGGGAAATTGGCATGTTCTTTTGATACCAATGGCTGGCCCTGGTCCTGGTCCTGCCATTGGTTTGAGGCAAATTCTCTGACTCGTGGTTTTGCCAGAGAAATTGACAACGGTAGCCATTGTGTTGTGAAGAAATTGGAACAAGATAGTGGAAAGTTGGAGAAAGAATGATGTAGCATGTAGGGGTAGAGAATTTGACACAAGGGACTAGTGTGACAGAATAGAGGAAAGAATAAGGGCACATTTGCACCATTGCTTTAGTTAAGGAATCCAGATGCTTATAGTTCCATTTGATTGTGCCTTGCTATGAAATCCAAGTATCACCACATCAAGGAAAATAATGAGATATGTTACAAATGGACGGTCTTCCCCATTCTCTACGTTATCGGAATTGGAAACATGTATGTAGGAAACTTGTAGGACAAGGCAACCGATGCAGCTTGCGAGTTGCATATCCATGTTTCTTCTCTGTGATATTTTCTCGACAACACATGATCAATTGATTTGTGCAGCGTGCAAGTTTTGCACCACAAATAATGAATAACTTCCGACACAGATTTTCTTGCTTCAAAACGATGGAATTTGGTTTGCTATATGGGTGTCCTCAACTCCATGTTTATACGTTTCAAAATGTTGAAGGAATTTGGATTTAAATATGGAACTTTGCTTCTTGAATGGAAACATTTTTTATACAACAATTCTAAGGGTGATGGATGTCAAGCATATTTAGGTAAGGAATACTGTCTTTCCGAGGATCTTTCAAAGAAAAGTTCATGTTTTGGTTAGGAATTTGTTAGTACGAAGAGATTTTTTTTCTTTCAATTAAAGAGAAGTACAATTATCTCGCAAGATGTCACAATTAAATTGGTTCATCCAATCAACAGGAATCCTAATCGAAAAGCAAAGCCATTAGAGCAACTTCACCTTACTAAGACAACTATTGTTTGAGTTATTGAGTTAAGGCAATTACTGCATTAATGAACAATAACTGCCCGAGTGCGTTTTCACACCTAAAAATAAAGAAAGGTTTACGAAATGAACACCCCACAATGCGACAATATCCACATCCACCAAACAATTAAACTTGTTGTAGAGAGAAGCATCAAAATTTCATCAGCTTACGAAATGAACAGCAAGGTCTTTGATGTTCCGGCCACTCAAATCTCCAAAGCAGAAGGCCTCTTCCAAAGAGGGGGCAGACCAAATCAAGAACAGCTGCAAATGCCATCCATTCCATGGTCTCCAGGCTCTCCAAAGCCTTTTCAGATCGCAAACACCGCTGCAGGAAAGCCCATTTTTAGTTAAGAGTCAGAGCTATAGAAACTAAAGTTTGATGATAAACTAAAATGTAATTAGCATCCCTTAAGGGATACAGAAATCTGTCATCATCTCAAGGCATTCCAATTTTACTCGACCTTATAATTAGAGAAATGATTTCCAGATGCTACTTTGATTCCAATTTGATTAAATTCATCTAAAGGCCAAAAATAACTTGTAGATAACCCTCACGTATTCGTGTTAAGACAAACTCAAAGCAATCATTACTCATTAGCAGTAAACTATGGATTAGCAGATTCATTAGTCACCAAATCATCACAAATATTCAAATGTCTCAAGTTAAGCTGAAAGGAATCTTGTACAGCAGGACATTCTAGCTGGCATGCCCCTAACAAACACCAGTCTCTGAAAAGGCTTGTTTCTAGCTTTCTCTTATCTTCCCGGATCAATCCTCCCCTGTCCTAGGCTTAATGGGTTGGTTGAGCTGCATAAACTCCCAGCCAATCCACTATATCCACACCCATCAAACAAGAAAACCGCATAAGAAAAGAACGGATATTTCCTCAGCTTACAAAATGATCAGCAAGATCTCTGTTGCTTCTACCACTGAAACTTGCAACAACTTCAGAAGCCGGAAGCCTCTGCCAAAGCGGGGACAGATAAAAATCAAGAATAGCTGCAAATGCCATTCATTCAATAGTCTCTTTCCTCTCCAAAACCTCTTCAGATCGCAAACGTCACTGCAGGAAGACCCACTTGTAGTGAGAGCTAGAAGAGTAGAAGTTTATAGATTAATTTTTTTATAAAATGTATGACCGTTACCTTCTTAATATATTTAGCTCTTCTTCTATCATATCGTTTTTCTTTTTCCTTTCAAACTCAATTGATAGTTTCTAGTCACACATAGCAGTTGACTTGGAAAAGGAAAAAACCCCAGAACGTCAAAAATAAAAATAACAAGGAAATTTTCAACTTCATGAGTTCGCAGATGATTCAATAGAAACCAACATACATTCTTTCTGTCATAGCTTTAAACATAACTCACAATGTTAGCACTTAGCAGAACAAAACGATATTATCAGTTATATTGTCGGTCATGCTCATAGCTACTGGACCATGGAAGATAACCTTGTAAAGCAGGTAAATAATTATCTAAACAGTCCATAAACCAAAATAAAAAGTTGATGACCAATGTCATATTATAGTAGAACTTCCAAATGCAATATGGTATAATACTGATGCAAGAGCATATGTGACTGGACTTCATAAATAGAACACGAACCTCATCTGATGACTAGGTCTTCACTCAATGGCAAGGATGCCACTTCTGTTCCTAGACAGTAGCCAAGTAAACAATGTGAATGGTTCAATATGTACAATGATGTGGTCATATGTCAAAGATCATTAAACTCGGACCATCATTTTCCAATTTTGTTGTCACCGACATCTGCAGGTACAACCTTATTAGTTCAGTATGTATTTCTGTATTCCCAGAATATAATTTGTCATCAGCAAAAAAGTAATGAAGCGATCCTCCAACTTGAAACCAACTAGAACCAGGTTCCTTGTAGACGATTTTTTCCTTCATTTCCTTTCTCACTTTTCCAACAGCACTCCACGTGCCAGCTGAGGTATACAGATTTGAAAGCAAAATATATGCAGTTTCGTTTTCAGGCTCCAGTTCAAGAAGCTTCCTTGCTGCGACTTTCCTCATATCAATGTTTCTATGGATGTTACAGGCCGATAGAAGAATCTGCCATATATGAGCATCATCTTCTAAGAGTCCAAGTCGGCCAAGTAGGTCAACCAAGCAAGCATAGTGTTCGATATGTGGCTTTAGCTCATGAAGCTCAATCATTGAGTTTAAGTAAAAGCTTCTTTAACAAGACCTGCATGGCAACATGAAGTAAGAAGTCCCAGATCAGTTATCTGATCTGGTTTTATTCCAAATTTAGACATCTTGTTGAATAGTTCCGACAGTTCATGTTGAAAACCATGTTGAGCGTATCCCATCACCATAGCATTCCAAGAAGCCAAATTACTTGTGGAAGCATTCTTAAATGCCTTTTCTGCATCACCTATGCTTCCGCACTTGCAATAAACGTCAACAATAGCACTTTCAACAAAAAAACTCCCTTGATCCAATCCAGTTTTGAGAGCTAGGGAGTGAATCACTAGTCCCTGTTCTAACTCAGTTATAGCACCACAAGCTTTAAGGACAGTACTGAAAGTTGAAGAGTCCACTTCAAGTTTCAAGCCCCTTGCAGTATAGAACAAATTGATAGCATCAGCATGACAACCGGCACAAACAAAACTAGCTACCATTGAATTAAGAAGTACCGAATTTATCTTGTCAGTATTAGAAAATGCCCTTTTTGCTTCTTCAATCCAATTGCATCTTCCATACGTTGTTATCAAGCAAGACACCACAAGATCATCCAACAGGAACCCCAAGTTTGATTACATGTGAATGGATTTGCATTGCCAGCTTTGGAGAATTCAAGTTGGACACAACTTCAAGAAGGCTAGACAGAGTATACCCATTAGGTGGTAATGAGACATCACGCATGCACCAAAAAACCTCAAAAGCCTGTGTGACAAATCCGTTCTCAGAATATCCAGCAAGCAAAGAATTCCAAGAAACAGAATCTCAGCAAAGCATATCATCAAACACACGCCTAACATCACCAATTTGCCCACATTTCCCATACATGAATATCAACAGATTGCCAACAGAAACCACCTGCAAGCACCCCAGTTTCTGACAGAGGGCTTGGATTTGTTTACCGGGTGTCAATATTCCCGGCCATCCAATAGCCGACAAAACATTAATAATCTATACTCATTCACCTCCAAACCCCGAGAGTGCAAAACTCTAAACAATTCCCAAGCTTCCACATCATCATAAGCAGCTCATATCCTCTCAGTCCAAGAAACAACATCTGGTTCAATAATTTCATCAAACACCTTAACCGCACTCCGCGTACTCCCACACCCAGAGTACATATTCAAAATTGCATTACTCAAATGAACCGAAAACCCGCATAAAAAACCCATCTTTACAGCAACCCCATGAATCTGTTCCCCTTCCTTCTCATCACACAATCCACCCAGCACAGCAGTCAAGCTAAACTCATTCAACTCCAAACCCAACCTCCTCATCTCCCCAAACACCTCCTTACTCTTCTCCAACTCGCCGCTCCAAACATACCCAGAAATCATAGCAGCAGTCCAAGCCACATTGTCCGCAACCAAACAATCCCCAAAGCAATTCTCTGCCGACCCAACATCCCCATTCCTCATATAATTCTCCACCAACCCACTAACCACAGAACCCCCATAACCAAACCCCAATCTCAAACAAACCCCATGGGCAACCTCATTCTCCTCCAACCCATCACACGCTTTCACCAGAGCACTCACTGTAAACCCATCAGGCCTTAAGCCCACGTGCCTCAACCAATCGAATAGCCCAAAAATGGGTCCGGGTGGTCCAAACTGGGCCAATCCAGCAATGAGAGCGTTGTAGGAGACTGTATCGGGTTATGGAGCGTCGTTTAGGAACCGGAGGACGTGGGAGAAGTAACCCGACTTGGAAATTTTCGAAATGAGAACGGAGGCGAGGAAGGGGTCCAGGCGGTGGCCGGACCTGAGAAAAAGGGCGTAGGTTTGGTCTGTGAGGTTGGGGCTGAGAGAGGAGGTTGATGTGGAGGCTTTTAGGGTTTCTGGTAGAGACATATACGCCCTAAGGCTTTGATAGGTTGTTGTGCTAACCTCTTCATTCATGGTTTGCTGTAAACGGAGCCAGCTTTTGGTTTTGCGGCCAAACTTTGGCGCGAAAAAGTGTTCGTAAGATCGTCAGTCGTTGCTGGCATTTTTCTCTAGTGCTGCTTAAATACGGAAAAGAATCATCGTCAGATCCTGTTCCTAGATCCTAAGGATTCGTAACTGTTCATCGTACATCGTGCAATAAAAAATTATTTTAAATTTTTAAATTTTAAATTAAATATAAATAGTACCTAATGAAATTAATCGCACAAATGTACCGTAAACGGTCATGATCACAGAATCCCTCATCTCTAGAAAAAAGAGCAATCATTTTCCCTTAAATACAAATAAATAATAAAAAAAAAACAATATTATTCAGATATTTATATAGATAATGTTAGAAAAATTTGTAAATTAAATAATGTGTCGTTAATCAGAATGAACACATTTATTAATGCTTAAGTATTAATTCAATCATCAACTTCCATGTCATTTAGTTTACAAAATTATTCTCCTAGCATTACCATATTTATATATCTAAATAAGAACCGTCATATTGAATGACTGGACGTGATAAAAATTATGTTAAAATCGGGCCAAAGAAACACCCAAATATAGAACTCTAGAAAATTTTAATTTTCCAAGAATACAGGTGGTACATCAAATGCTATAATATAAAGGGTGAAATGTCGATTTAGTTCCTGAACTACCTTAGTGAAAATTAGGTCCCTGAATTATTTTTTCGATGAAATAGGTCCCTCAATTCATTAAAAAGTGTTAATTTCGTCTGTACTATTATATTCATAGTTATTTTATTCAATTTTAATTTCGTCTATACTATTATAAAAGTTATTTTATTCAATTTTTCATTATCTTAAATTACTTGACATACTTTATAGTGTAATATCATCATTTTTTTTTTTTTTTGCCTATAAGCCCCTAACGTCTAATTTATCCTCCAAAATTAACTCTATACACTATTTTTTTAATAAAAATTACTAATCTACTCTCTAATGTGTATCAAATGCAAGTTACATGATCTAAATTGACAGAAATTGAATACAGTAGCTTCGAATCTAACATTAGGGATGTAATTGGCAAAATTTTATAATTCAATGATTGTTTTTTTTTGAAAAAATAGTTTAGAGACCTAATTTTCGTTCAGGTGATAATTGAAAGTCTAAATTGGCAATTCACACCCTAATATAAATAGATAAAAAAATTCAATTTTTCAACTGTCACTCCATTTAAATAATGACACATGATGACAAGCTCCAATGTCCTCTCCTCAAATGGACCGCCTTCTTAGCAATGGCTTTGCTAGAAATCCAATCTTCTCCGACATTTTTTTTTCACCGAATTAATCAAATGAATCCCCATCATCTCTAGACTTTACCATTAAATCAAATTAATCAAATCAATCATGGCTTTTGTCGGCAATTCGAGCTTCATCGTTTCATCGTGTTGGGGTTGCAACATATTTCCACAATACAAATGATAGTATTGTGGCTTATTTTAATCTAACAAGGAGAGTGAGGGGGCACTGTAGAGAGAGATGTGTTTGTAAGGTTGTGTAGAAGATGTGTTATTCCTCTTATGCAATGCCTTTATTTATAGTAATAAGGGAGGGAAGAATCCTTCTCCTCCAAGGAATTCAAATCCTAATAGAGAACAATAACTAGAATCAAATCAAATTTAGGATTTATACAATCATACTTAAATACAAAGTTTATAACACTCCCCTTTGAGTGTGTACATACCGTTAAGCAAAAATTGTACATAATATGTAAACAAATAATTTTACTCGACACAATTTCACCCTCGTTCATTTTTCAAAGAGAGTTTTATTAACTTGAGTTCGACCCATTCTAGGCTACGCGCCTATTAATTACAACCCTTCTTTTGGGAAATGAATACTCCAATATGAATAAATCGTAACATGGGGATTTGAGTGTTTATTTGATTTTGTGACTGCACCTAGGTAGAGCCCTCGGTTGCCTACATACCCTTGTTGAGGGATCAAGTCACTCGAAATTCCTTATGTATTTGTTGGGGTTTGATGCCTTGTGCAATTTCAACTCATGCAGACAAGGAGCATTTGATGCCTTGTGCAGTTTTAACTCCTGCGGGCGAGGACTTTGAGCTGTTGGAGCATTTGATGCCTTCTGCAGTTTTAGCTCATGCAGACGAGGACTTTAAGCCGTTGGAGCAATATGTGGCTTCATGCCATTTGATATTCGATATGGCTTCGTGCCATTTGAAGCGGCTTTGTGCTGTTTGAATTTTGACATGACTTCATGCTATTTGAGACTTTTCTTCGGCTTCATGCCATTTGGTATTTGATACGGCTTCGTGTCATTTGAAATTTGATGCGGCTTTGTGCCATTTGATTTTTTTGTATACGGCTTCATGCCTTTTGAATCTTGATGTGGCTTCATGCCGTTAAATAAAATTTGATGGACATTTTTGATAAATAACCAATCAAAACTTGAAGAGTGAGTTTGGATCAATGCGTTGAGCCTCTCTTTTTGTAGAGCCATTTTCCATGGTTGGATTTTAATTCACCATTTTTTTTTTTTTTGTCTATACCTTCCTTCCTCTAGTATGCTTGTAATTGGGCACAAGTAAGTGATCATGCCTGTTGATTTAGTGACGGGCATGTTTTAAGAGTTTTTCATGTGGCGAGACTCATCCTACACAGTTTAGGAAAGGTTGATCAACACAACTTCTTCTGATGCATTTTCCACGAGGGTCCCACACGAGCGACATTCCCAATTAATTTGAGAACTTTGTTTACGGCAAACTTATTTCTTTCCTTTGTACACTTGAATTTTCCAAGTCCAAATAGGACGTTACGTGGCGTCGAAGTCCTGGCACAAAAGGCTTTTGATGGAATTCCAAAGAAGCAGCTCCCCTTTTTTTATAATTTTCTTTTGAACTTTCAAACCCATTTGACGTGGGACTTTGAACCCGTTTGACCCAAGACCCAAGCTTCGTTCTAATCTGACAGTAAGCTTCATTATCTCCTCTCTTTTTTATCTCAAACATGGTTTTTGTGAGATTAGGGTCCCGTGTTCAAATAGGACTTTGGCTTCCAAATTCCTCTTACCGTCAGCAACCTCTCTCCTTCTCCACGTGAGATGCATACTTCTCTTTTACTTTTTGTAGAATTTGTAATTACTTGGTCAAAATGGCAGGAGTGAATTTAGTTTATATAAATCAAGGATTCATTCTGGCATCATGGTTGTGTCTAAAATTTAATATCAGACTGCCTAGGTATCTTTAACGAAATCAAATCAGCGTAGTTCGTGAAATATTTGATTTGAATTTGTGTTCAGTACTTTGGCAAAATGAGAAGCCATTTGGATTTATTTAAAGCCCATATATGACCTTTGGTAATTGCCTAATAGGCTTTGTGAAATAGGAGTTTTGATTTTGTCTTTTCCTTAAGGGGCTTAGGAAGACATAAAGTGGGACTCTCAGCCCCACGTGAGATGCACAATTCAATCTTTTCCTTCAGTAGCCGAGACTTGAAGACAAAACGGGACTCCAAGTCCCACATGAGATGCACAGCTCAAAAACCCATTTAGAGATCTTCCCTGCTCCAGTATTCATTCCTCCAAATAGCGATGTCGATATACTCGAGCTCCCCGTTGATTTCGCAATTCCTTTTGGGTTTATTAGCCGTTGAATTCCAAACGAAGATGGGTAAGATTGGTGGAGTTCAAACTCTTTTGAATTGCTCCCACTTATCCTTTTTTCCTCCTAAATCGCAGAGGTTTTTTTTTATTATTTGTTTTTTCTTTTCCTTATGCAGGTCACGAATGCCCTTTTTTTCTGCTGCCTTGTTCTTTTGCTCGTGTGCTTCCTTTGTGGATCGAAAGCTCAAAACGAAGAGAGGGGGAAATCAAACAGGTTACCGATTTTCGTTTTCTTTATGTTCCGGGTTTGCTTATGTATTTGGAGTGGAATGAAACTCTAACTGCGATGAACTTATCAATTCTTTCGTGCAGGAGTTTCTGGCAACAATATCTCTTCGATTGGTTGTTGAACAAACTATTTTGCAGTACTTTGAAAACAAGTGTTGATTCATGGCTCCAAAGGTGAGAATTGCCCTCCTGAATTTTGTAGTGATGCACTCTTCATGTCTGCCATACTTGATTGAGTTTTTGGTGCGTTAGTGTGTAATTATCACTCTGGCATTTCTGTTTTCACATAAAGATTTATTTGATTGGCCTTGACAGTGGGCATTTGGACACCCATTTTGTGTTCCCATTCATGTTTTGTCTTCAATATTTCCCATCCTTTCTCATTAACACTTGTACAAAGTGATACTTCTTTTAGTTCTTTGGGTGTTAATACCAAGGTTGCCATGTGAATGAGTTTCCCAATCAGTTTGGGAAGTTTGACAGCAAGATTTTCCTTCTCTGTGAACTTGTGACAACTTGTACTCTTTTAAGTCCAAATAGAACTTCACATGGCAGAGAAACATATATCTTCTAGCTATTTATTGGCAAATTTCCTTTCTTTCTTCTTGTCTTGTAGCATCTATCAATCCAATGTCTTTTGGTCAATATTTTTGACCCATGCTTTAACTTTCTTTTTTGGTAAAGTCCCATGCTTTGATTTTGGTCCTTCTTCGAAATACTTGTACAAACATCATCAACTTTGCTGGAGCTTTACGAGTATAAAGGGAGACTTCCTCTTTTCCAATTTCTCCTTTTCCTTGGACTCTTATCCCCAATAGGTTTTCGTAGAATTTTTAGCCAAAGGCATCCTCCATATCTTGTACCCGTGAGTAGCAATGAAAACACCAAACAGAATAATTTATTTCCTCTTGAGTTGCATCTTTGTATATATTGCTTCCTTGCTGTCTTACTTCTCAGAGACTTAAGCTTAGAACTTTAAAACTGCACTTGACAATCTAGCGAGGGGGTATAGACCATTTAGACTTGGTTGGAACTTCACGGGGTGGTCTAAGCTCTGGAGATTATTTCTGCTGCAGTTAGTGGGGAGTCGGTGGATTGTTTAGAGTCTCCACCTCAATTTGTTTGGTGCAGGAGAATGCCAAGCAAAGAGATAAAAGCCAAAAAGGCTAAAAGAAAGATTAGAGAAAAATTTGTCGT